ACTTACCAATTCAGCGCTTCAAATCACTTGTACTGAAGCAGCAGTCATAATTGATATTTGTGACAAAAATATTTTTAGTTTTTAAGTGAAAACATCCAACAAAATGACCCGAATTGATTCCAGTCAGCCATAATAGTCGCCATGTAGAAGTCGAGTTCAAACATATTTGCACACATCCAGCCACAATAGTCACATGAGCAAGACCCTAAAGTATATCTGGAATACAGATAGATCGTATCATTACAAACTTTAGCTAGATTAACTTAGATTCCGTGCAATTTAGAAATGTTTTGAGATGTTTGTATAAAATATCTTACGGTTGGCGCAAGAGCCGTGTGACATCAAAGAATGCGTGACATACACAGGAACTCCGCGGTTTTTAATCCATTCGACTCCTATTCCATTTCATTTGTTTGTGTGTGTTTTACTAAAAAAAGAAGTAAATAGCATGGGAATAATGAATGGGGTACACATTTACATTCAAAATTCTAGACCAAACGATGGTATGAAATATCAGTTGAGCACGGCGTTATGACGCAATATGCAAATGATTTCCTTGCTATCTTTTCTCCTTTAATGGATGGCGCATAGGAAACCCACTGCTAATAACAGCTTTTGAGAGGACTACTAATCCTATTATTTGATCTGCGATAATGCTGGCTGACTATATTGTTTACAAGGTTAGATTGCAACTACATGATTTTACTACTGTAGTGATACGCTCAATAAATAAGTCTTTGATTACCCTTTTCTTTCCTTCTAAATCGGCTGTTCCTATCTCTAACTCCTCGCATATGTTCTTTATCACTGACAAGTTAAGCTTTTTTAGTTTCTTCTCAGTATAGAGTTGACACAAATCAATGGATTTAAATGTAATGGGATGCTGCAAATATATAGCACTCATCTAAAACCATCTGCCGTGTGTTGGAAAATTCGTTTTGTTCTATTGCTGCCTCTTGCTCATTAACGTCTGTACCTGCTCCTTGTCGATCTTTCGATGCCTTTCGTGAAAAGTACCCTTGAATCTGAGACGGGGTTAGAAATTCCGACATGTGAAACCTTCGTYTACCTTCAAAGTCCTTAGCAAAGTGCATATCTTGCGAAACTGTTGCGGGATCTACTTTATGGCCAGTTGTTTTGCCTTTCTCAAACATTGCATCCAAATATTCCTTCTGCTTCTCTGAAAACCTTGTACCTTTTCTATTTTCTTTGACGGCCCARCCAGTTTTAAGACTTTCATCAGACGCTTCACAGGTTGTTGTTTCCATGCGCGGTTGAGAACTGGATCCAGACTCCAACTTCTCTGCGTACAGTTTCTTAGCCTTATCGTACAGGGCCTCCTTTTCCTGCACCAGCCTGCATTTTCCATAGTCCATATGACGTTCTACATAATAACATTAAAATATTAATAAAATGATGTTTATTGTTCGAAAAAGTTTAGTCGCACTTCAGTACCTAAAGAGGCGTATCTCATGTATGTACATTCACATCCTTCCACAGGACAGCTAAATAACTTTGGGCTGCTGCCGGCATCACCWTYATCGTCACTTTCCTCGTCAASTAAKCTGGTCACTTCAGAACTAGCCACATTTCTTTTACGAGTGGATCGTGCAGTAATATTCACAAAKCCACCTTCRCTGAAGTGTTTAGAAAATTTCTTCATTTCTAGCTTATCAGGAACTGAAAATAGATAATGCTAGTCTTAAATCAGTGCCACCAATTATATAATTTACTTAGGTAACAAACATTAAAGAGATTACCTTGGAGCTGTGACCACTCTTCAGTCTTTCCTTCTCCAATTGCATATGATCTCCAGCATGTCAAACCATTGTCACTGTAGCTAAAATTACTCAGGGAACTNAATACGTCAATTCAAGTCTGGAAGACGTTGCTTACCGAATATGACACCAGCCCCGAAAAAATACTGTTTGTAGAGTGCTGCTTTATCTCTTATTAGGACAAGAGATTCATCTTCGTGTTCCTCAAACAGCCTATCTTTGACCTCCTTCATAATTGTGCATAGAAACTGCCTCCTCGGCCCCCATAATCCATTGCACACTCCCCATTGTAGGTGACATTCAACGGAATGCTGTAGTCGATTTCAACTTGGTTGAGAGTCAATTYGGCCATCGCATCCTCAAATACAGCAAATCTAGAAATAAATATTTCTCGTGTATCTCCTTCCAGTAAGTTGAAGTTCGAAATGTCCTCTTCTTCTAGGTCGAGCTTGCGTCCTCTTAAAAAGTGTTGCTGGAAGCACCTCAGGACGGCARCAGGGTCCTCGCATCCATCCCTGAAAAATTGAATGAAGGAAACTTAAAGATCTTAGCGGTATTAGCCCTTATTTTCATCKTCACATTCATACTAAAAATGGTGAAGTATTGTTCTTACATTTCTTTGACTGYCTCATCTACAGCTTTTTGGAGATGTTCTTTGTATGCCGTTGGCCTAAAAATGGTATTCAAAACAAAGAAGAATTTTTGAGTTTGTAAAAACTCTCAGTCAAGAATCTATACATTATTAGATTACTTGTTGTGGGTGTCGGTACACAGAGGAAAAATCGCCACGGAATTCTAGACTGTGAAAMTTTCGATCAGTTGTTGCAACTTATCTATAAGAATACTAACTTTGCAGATATTCCATTGAGAATAGCGCCAGAAGTACTTTTATTGCTTGAGGACTGAGTGGAAGAGCTAAAATATAACCAGAGAACGCAGATAAGGTATTGAATATATTTTATCTGGAAACTCACTGACGTTGATAATGGCGCATGTGAAAACCTTCACGGCAGCCATGAAACATATGGTAGCGAAAACGTACCTTGAAGTTGTGTTCGTTGCTATCTGGCTAGAACTTGATAAATTTTGCAGCGATGCCGTTTCAGTTGTTGCATTATGAGATATAATTGTCAGCAAAAAAAGATATTGCACAACCATATAATCAACAAAACACATTTGCTATATTATAACTCTCCTACAAACATGCTGCTGAGGGATAACTTCTCAAGATTAGTCGAAACAAAGCTTAAAAACGGAACTATGATATCTAAGAGCAAGAATAAATCAAGCCGCCAATGGCAACATAACTCGAAGATTGATTATATAGACGAATAGCGAACCATTCACGAGGCCCAATTGGTCGATGAATGAAATGATGATACTCAATGAGTAATTATACGTCATATAAGTGTATATCCGACTTTGCGGGACATCATCATTGTCTTACGAAACTGAATCAATTGCGTTTCTATATCGTTAGACGTTCCTTTGTGAGCAAAGTTTTGAAATTAGAACAAGAAAAAAATTTGCTTTGCAATAACAAAAAGGCGACTTTAGGATTATTATATACATCTTTTATTTTTTGAAATATGTATTTTGTTGGTCGATTTGATTAAAAAACGTAAGAGAAAAACGAAGTTAAAGTCGTATGTAAATCAGGACAAATCTCTTGCTCATATACAGATGCGGTCACGGCAATGATTTGCCATTGTGTTCCTTATGAATTATTGAAGAATTCGAAAAGATGTATTCGAATTATATGATAGAGAGAATACATCATCAAAATGTCATCTTGTTTAAAACTTTCCTATAGGTGGATCTTTGCTGACGTCATTGTTTACATTTTATATTTTTCGGCTAACACGACATACACACCGAATATTGAAAGAACTCTGTAAGATTAGCTGTTATTGATAATTTGAGCTAAATCCATGGAATAGATTTGGAGTAATATGGTTTTCAAAACTACGAATTTTACAAAGAATGTATGGGCTCATTAGCGTTTTGCTACACAGCCCGATTTTCCATTGTTCTCAAAACTGATATATCGTGTTTAAAATTGCATGCAAAAAGCTCAAAGTGTTGTGAAATCTGTAGATTTACGAAGTTTTCTAAGTTTTGATTTAAGTTTTCTTATTTCGTKGCTTTTTTCTGTGTGGCAAAGTCTGTGTGGCAAAGCGCTAATGAGCCCATACATTCTTTTTAAAATTCAGTATATATTTGGATTAAGCTTGTTTAAAAGCAAAAAAGCTTATGCTAATGAGGAAAATCATGTAAACAAAGATCCACCTATACCATGTAATATGCTGTAAAGTTTGAGAAATGGCCATCCCGACTTCACGCTTCAAGAGGGTCCCTTATTTAACAATTTGAATTTTAATGAAACAATGTTTTGCTGTAGATGACCTCTCTTGCGCATTGCCTCTGGATACTTCATTGCGACAGCAATCTACACAACATCTGTTTCTGTTAGGCACGACTAAGGTGAAAACATTCTGAAATAATAATTACTAAGAATAAAAAATAAGAAACAATTTTTAGGAAGAAATGTGAATTATGACCCCTACAAATGATCAATCTAATAAAATGTTAATATAGCTTACATTTCGTTCGTTACAAAATTATTTTAAGAAGACATACACTACCGTTATAGCTGTTTTGCCTTTNTCATTTGAAGGAAGCTGGCCCTTACTTTCAGCTACAGCATTCTTGATCTCTTTAAGAATGGCTTTTAAATCTTCACAGGAAGAACAGCTCAAGTCATGGTCATGGTCACACTTTTTCTCGAAAGGCTGTAAGTCTTTCAGTCTACTTTTCTTTGGAACTTCTTTCTGACCTTTCTTTGACTTCTTTTGTAAGCTTTTCTTGACACTTTTCCTAGAATCAGTGTCCAAATCCTTCTCTGGGTTACTTAGTGCATGTGCAAGGCAGTGGTCCGGAACTTGATTTTCATCTGTTATGTGAACCTAAGTTTCAGATAGAAAAACATAAATAAATTGCTTATTACTTTTTCATATAACTAAAAATTACATTATACCTTGAAGTCTGACTTGAGATACTGCTTAGACTCACGAAGAGATCTCTCACAATCTGTAGCCCACTCCTGTCCACGTATTGGTATCAATTCTAGAACAATTTTAMTAAGGTCGTCKAATGCTTTGGCTCCATCTGCATGGTAATAGTCAAGGCCTTGAAGAGATTTCCTGTCTGTTGCAGAACATGCTGAAAGTACCCGCCTCATGGTGGACTCGCTGAAAGGCTTGTATTCTGTCTCCTTGCAATACTGAGTGTATTGTGCACATATTCGTGATGGGATCAGAGAACGGATCACATTCGRGGTTTCCAAAATATCACCATTGGATAACTTTAGATRCCTCTGTCCAAATGGAAGATCTTGCACAATGTGAGGGCTGGTTATAAARCACAAAAAGTGATCYAATTGTCCTTCATCTATACTAATACGATTGAGACGGGTCTTTGGCACAGGTGCGCCACGTCCATGTTGCAACCCGTGAATGCGGGCTATTTTCCARCGATATTCTGTGAGCTTTGGGATATATTGSCGTATTTCTTTAAGGGAAATCAAATCTGCAAGTATCGACAGGATTTGTCGCTTTGTGTCCCAGCTGTTGGCATGCTTGTAYGTCTCGGCAAGGGCTGAAAGATACTTCTCCTCTGCTTGAGGCTTTACTCCCACAGCTTTATCGAYCTTCTTAGATYGCTGAACAGCTCTCCAAAGGCTACCTGCATCCCCTGGTGCAACAACATCCAGTGCTGCCACAATTACATTGCTCATTTTTGATACATGGACATCTTTAGTCCGAGTGCTCATAGTTTCCCATGTCTTCTTGGTGGGACCAATAAGAGCGTCTTTTTTGCCACTAGCCTCTAAAAACTCGTTGAGCTTCTTGCGTTGCAAAATAGCTTTAGGATAACTTGACTTTTCGTCTGATAAATGGTCCTCTGAAGATGCCGACTCCATGTCAGGGAGGTATACACTAAGGTTTCTATCTTCAATTGTAAGTTGATTTAAAGCTTCTGCTAGAGACTCTTTGCTGTCACTGCTCTCAGTATCCTGCAAAGTTAAGATGGATATAGTAAATGCAAACTATACAATGTCTATATGAATATTTCTCTCGCAACATAATATTCTTGCCTTGTCATATCCAGAAGTAGTTTTAGTTGATTTAGTTTTGCTTGATCCAGGCAGCTCTTTGGGTTCTTCTATTGAAATATTTTTGCTTGACAATTGTAGACTTTTGACTGGTGAGGCTTGTGTCTCATTAGTTGACCTGATTGCTATTTGGACTTTGTCAATTTTTTCTCTGCACCGCCTACAGATAGCTGAAAACGGATTTATTATTAACAATAGCAATAGCAATAATGAAATTATTATTATTGGTACGTACTTGAGCCAAGAGGGACAAGTTCGCCAGTTATTTCATAGCACTTTTTTGACTGGATGGATGATAAACCTCTGTCACCTTTGCAACTTTTCTTGTGCTCAGAAAGAGATAACGGAATGGCACACAACGTTTTGTTGGAACGCCAACGAATACCATATGCTTTTCTGTGTCGAGGGCATA